ATGTCTTCAGTCTGCACCGCCTCTCCAATGTCAACCTGAATAGACATGTAAGTGAAACCAAATGAGCCCCATGGATGATGCAGTATTGTTTGATCTAAAACACTGTTTACTCTGTGCTTTTAGTCTTTTACATTGAAAATTATGTTTTTTAATTCACAAAAAACTGTTCTGTAATGATTACAGAACAGTTTTTTTTTGTGAATTAAAAAACATAATTTTTGGTGAAAATACTGGAGTAGGCTTGCTACTTGTCAGACAATGGAAAACTTTGAACGTTGTATAATTTCTCTACTTTTGCAAAGAGTAGCGGTTTAAACGGAGGAAAGTATAGGACGCGGCGCGCCTTTCTCTGAAGAACTACTGAGCGGGAGGAGACAGCCAGGTGAGGAAAAGCTGTTCTTATCTATCGATTCAGTATTTTTATCATACAGACATTAGGCTGTTGTTCTTGTGCTATGAGCTAGCTGCTAGCTAATGACTTTGCTAGCAAAGCAAGATAACTAAAAAGCTTCCCTGTGTCGTTAATGATGGTAGGACATTCTTCAGTATTACTTATGCAATAGGGGCACATCGCCCGTCAAAAACCTATCATCTCCATAATGGATATATGTCTGATTTTCTAATTTCCTTTGCTGCATGATGTACATTGCATTTATTCTAGCGTTAGGTAAATGTATCTTGAAGGAGAACTCATCCAGAACTACCATGATAGATATATGATAGATATAATGTATGAAGCTGGTGAAAACAAAACTGCGCAGCTGCTGCAAGGAGGATCGGTTGTCAGACCTTCTTTTGTTGGCAATCGAGAAGGATGTGCCAATCATTCACAGTGAGGTTAACATTTTTAAAGACATGGCTAACAGAAAACTGCTGCTGTGAACAAAAGAGAACAAAAATAGCAAAAATGCTTAAAAGTTGGAAATTTGTTTTTAAACAGTTAAATCACCATGACGGAAAATACGTTTTTGGATCATAATCTTGGGTTTAGTTTGGGGGAAAAAGAAAGGCAAGAGACTGAAATAAATAAGACATTGACCGTCACTCAACACAGAAAAGATGAGACAATGAGGAAAAAAAGAAAAGAGAAACTGACAAGAAAAAACAAAGAGGAAAGATTGAAGAAAATGTATATAGGTACTTACAAAATACACTAAGACACAAACAGAGTAGGCTTTTCTCATGGTGACATGCATTAATAAAATGTTTGTTTTGTTCTTTTTTTCTGCAGTTCCACGTTAAAGTTTGATGCAGCAGCTCTGCTTTTCTGAATGGACCGTCTCCATCTCCACTGTCAGTACAGCAAACCAGGCAGACATTTTTTTTATAGATTACAGTACACTAAAAGGTTGCATTGTGCCCTTGTATGCATTTTTAACAGTTTAATTCTGTAAAGACAAAATATGTCTGGTGGTCCAGCTCTGATTTACATCTTTGGCTAAATTGCAGGTTTGAATATTGTAATACTTTCCTATAACAAAATAGACCTGCAGAAAGAAATTACTAATAAAATATTTTACATATGCATAGTTCTATGTTCTTTGTAGATATTTCCCTTAGCTTTGATTGTATGTCTCACAATTTTGAAATTTATCATTGTTCATTAAACTCTGAAAGCTATGTGACTTTGTTAATATTGTGTCCTAAAATGCGATAAGATGTGCCCTTTTTTTTTTTTTGAGCACCTGCCCCTTTAGTGGTCTCTGCACGGCCCTGTATTACAGCATAGGCAACGTCTCTAACTTGGTGATTTCAAGGAAAAGCTCTTGATAATGCTGCTATTGCTCTTCAACTGGGGTGGTTCTTCACCATTAGAAGAGGGACCACAGGGTTTATTTGTTTGCAGTTTAGATTGTTTTTCTCTAAGATGTTTAAATAGGACTGTAAACGACTGTAAGGTAGAATCATTTTGGAAAATAAAAGCTGTATTCTTAACTCTTAACTTATGCTGTAAAAAAAACGTACAATTTAGACTTAGATCTGATCAATCGATCAAGGCTTGACTGTTCCATATACAGTGATTTTAATGCTCCTCTTAAATTTAGGTTGAGCTGCTGAGAAATTAATTTACCTGGTCCCTTTTATTATTTTGTCAATCTTTTGTCTTCATTTTGTTCTGACATGTGTCCTTGGATGTCAAGAAATAGTTGCATTTCCACTCAGGTCTGTTCTAAGAGACCATTTTTAAGCATTTTGAATATAACTTACCTGAGTAAACTTCTGTGCCACAAATCACAAATCAGGTTTGTTAATAGAATTATTTCTTCATTGCATTTTGTTGAATTATGCAGTCCTTTGAAAAAGAATAGATTGCTTAGGGGGGGCTTGCTACCTTGTTTACTTTAGTGCAGCATAACTTTGAACTGAAGGCAAGGAACTCAGAGAAAAAAGTGCTTTAAATTTTAGGAGAAGTCGGATGTCTGTCTGTCTGTCTGTCTGTCTGTCTGTCTGTCTGTCTGTCTATCTATCTATCTATCTATCTATCTATCTATCTATCTATTTATCTATCTATAAAACAAAAACTGAGAGGTGAGTATTTATCTAACAAACAGACATAAAACATACACCTTACACTACCTAAAGATCATCAACAGATAAAGATGATTAAGTCCTCCTGTGCAGATTGGAGGTGGGACATCTTGAAACAATAATTAGACCGCTTCAGTCTGGATGCAAATTACAAACGGTTTTAAAGTAATCCAGTTTTATGCCATAATTTCTTTTTGGTCAGCTCCTGGCTCTTGGTTAGTCAGGTAGAGCAAAGAATTAGTAATGACTCACAAATGGCAGAGAAAGATTTGGTTTTAAACATTATCTAGCACAAGGCAGACAATACTACCTACCAACAGCTATCCACACTTACAACAACTGGTTAACAATCCCATAGATTTAATTTCCCTCTGGATTAATACAGTAGTTTAGATAAACATTTCTACAGATATAAATGTAAATTGATTGTTTGATTAATCAAAAATATTCAGAGGATTGTACATTTGAATTTTTACAATAAATGAAATATGGTCATTAGCAAAGGTTAATAGCATTATGAACCTTTAACACAATTTTGTTGAATCTTGACTTTGATTTGGTTTATTGATATTGAAAGCACTAGTAGAAACACCCTTAGAAAATGCACAAGACCCCTAGAGGAAAAAATTGGAAGACAGACTCTTAGAAGAATTACCAAACAGTGTTAGAAGAACCATACGTACATAGAAAAGCGATGTTTATATTATGTATAACGGTACTAATATAGTCTATGCAATGGGCTAATAGTCTATTTGATTTGCAGCTGGTATGTTTGTGTGACTGAGTACAAGGGGATGATTGCTTTGTTTATGTATACTGTAGCATGAATCATTTTGATGGAAGTAGTTGTATTGTGTTATCACTAGTACTGAACTACAGGAAGCAAGACAGTTACAATGTCGCACTAAACTCCCTGTTTGATTGTATAACTGATATTAAGTTGTGGCTTTCAGACAATTTTCTTAGTTTGAATGATGTAGGTATGCAGAATGGCTCAGATCTGAGTTTGGGAGCTTTGGAATCCTACATTAGATCGGCTGTCAAAAACTAGAGGGTTACTTTTGATTGCAGCATGAAATTTCATAAGCAGATCAGTAATGTTGTTCAAATTAGCTTCTTCCAGCTTCGGATGCTCGCTAAAGTCAGAGGTGTTAAAGCTGAAGTCTGTAAGTTTTTAAAAATCACTTTTTTGTCATATTGGCTAAAACTGTCCCTATGCCCAGACAGCAGTACATGTGATATGTAACCTGTAAAAAAAACTGCTTCAATTGGTCCCGCATACTGCCTGTATTTCAATCTGGAAAGAATAATTCGGGATGAGACAAAACAACCAATCACAGCCAGAGGAGCGTCTGATGGAGTGTCAATCACAGCTCAAACACAATGAATCCCGCCCCCTCCCTCTCACCGCTTAACCTGCCGCTGCCGCCCGGCTGCCGCAGTCAGGAGGACGCGCGTGGAAGTCATGGCGGAGCGACAGCCACCAGCGAAAGAGAAACTGCCCTTACTGCCCCTGCCGACAACTGCTTACACGGCAAACTTCGGTATAACCAGCATCTTATATCTAGCTGCTTGGAGGTGAGTGTGATCACTCTTACCGGTTCACACTCCATGCCGCGTACGCTGCTTGGATGCTTCTGGTCGCATGCGGTAGCCGCGCAGGTGCTGTGAGAGGGGTGGAGCTTGGAGGTGGGGCATGAGTGAAGCAGAGAGGGTGGGGGAGTGACGTGAAACCTGTTTTTCTTCAAATTTTCAGTCAAAGTCTGCTCTCTTCTCAATGTTACAGACTGCAGCTTTAAGTAACAAAGTACTAACCTTACTTAAGTAGAAATGTTGTCTATTTAAACTTTACTGGAGTAATTATTCTTTAGACAACTTTTTACCTCTACTTTAACTTTTATACTTTAAGTAGTTTTAAAAATGAAACTTTTACATTTTTACTTGAGTAAAAGCTTACTCTACTATAGTAGTCTTTAAACAATAGGATTTCTACTTTTACTTAAGTAATAACCATAAATACTCTGGCTAAAGTTCAGCCTTTTTCTGGGGCCATTTATTCTTTTATCAGTTTGAGGTTGGACTACTGTAATTCTCTTTATGTTGGTCTGTATTAGACGTCCGTCGAATAACCTCAACTTGTGCAAAATGCTGCCGTTCGCTTTCTAACAAATACATCTAGACGTGCACACATCACCCCCATTTTCTACACCCTGCATTGGCTCCTGGTTCATTTTCTGTCAAAGTCCCTCCCACTGAATGAGGAAAGTTTTTGTAAGCGCACACTTGGAGTAACTGTATATCTTCTGTGATGTTTACGGTTTCAGTTTTGTTTGACTCTTTCTATTTTTTATGAGCTATTTCTTGTCTCCTTCACTTTCTCTCTCCCCTTATTTCTAATCTCCTCTTTCTTTCTCACCTCTCTTTCAGATTCCGTGTCTGTTTTGTTAGAATTTATTCCCGAAATAATTTTCAGTAAATTTTTATATACAATTACCAAGCAGGACCTTATGGTCTGCTTGTGAAAGCAAATCTGTTGGCTATCATCTAGCTTTGGGGAAATCAACTGCCAGAGCTAAACTGGCAAAACAAGACACAGAAAAGAAAAAAAGAAGAAGAAAAAAAAAAGAAAGTGAAAGTGAAAGGAAAATGTGTGAGAAGGTTATGTTGTTGGAAAACTCCCATCCAAAGTGTTTGCTTATAAAGGCCAGCCACCCAGGAAAGGAGATAGTATCAAAGTGTCAGTGTCAGAACTTCACATGGAAAAATACTGGGACTTAAATTGATACTGGTACGAAATTGAAGATGAAAAAGCCTTGGAGTAAATTCCTGTCTAGAAGGGACAGCACCCGACCTGTGATAAATGACAACAATAATTACATAGAGAATGGTGAGTAAGAACTATTATCAAAGTCAAGATATTTGGCAATTTTTTTTTATCTATGCCAATAAGAAGCATTGCACATCTTGTATTATATCAGTTTTTTTTTTTTTCGGGTTTATGGTTTAACTGGGAAAACATTTGTTGTTATTTTATATTCAATGCCCATCCAGGTTAGATGCCATATTAATGTTGTGAATAATTATTATATTCAATTCCCAGCCAGCTGGGAATTCATATGTTCTGATACTCTAAGGGCCGGATCTATCAAAGGTTTGCGTGTATTAAAACGTGAGCTATTTCACTGCGCACGCTAAAAAATGTACAAACTGATCTATCAACAGCGTGCTAAAAGCATTTGGTCTTTAAAACGTGCTAAATAGCGCCTCTGATCCATTTAGTACTTTTTCTGCAATGAATATGCAATATGGGGCGTTTACACGCTAAAGTGCGTCTTGTGGGAGGAGAACATGTAAATATATTAATTTAGCACTCGCAAAGTGATTTATCAAACTTGAACGCAATTTTGCTAACGGTATCTGACTCTATATTTAACACGTTTCAAAAGAAGGTGCAAATGGTCTGTATGCGTAATTGCGCACACATGGCAGCAGTTATTGTCGCAAGAAGGAGACATGGAAATAAAGCAAGGAGACGCAGAGAACGCATTTTTTCACTCCGTGTGAATATTTTTGCAATGAACGAGGAAACGATCATCAAAACATATCGTTTATCCAGCATTGCCATTTTGGAGCTGTTGGGGGAACTCCGAATGGATTTGGAGCCAGCCGCAAGGAGGACCCACGCAATACCAGATATCACAAAACTCCTTGCAACATTGCACTTTTTTGCATCTGGGTCATTCCAGCGTACGGTTGGAGCGAGAGCTGGGATCTCCCAATCTCGTTTTTTCAGAAGTGCTGTCCGACGGGGTCGGGGTTCTCCCCCTGCGCCTGTGGAGCAACGTGCCAAATGCTGCGGGGATCCCATCCACAGTCACAGGCCAATACAAAACACCTGTTTTTTTTTTTTTTGTTTTTTTTTCTTTTTACTGCAGCACATACCACCTTAGGGAATAAAGGTTGCCAATTTATAAATATATATATATATATTTACTTATTTTTTTTTTGTTGGGGGTCACTCTAATATTTAAATTTCTTAATGCACTAGTTTGTACAGACTACAAACTACTTTGCCGCAAACCACAAAACGCGCAAAACCATCATTTAAATAGGGCGTCTCCAACAGTTTTGCACCTTCCACCAGTTACGCAATCACTCTTGTTAAATCACCCGCAAACCATGGTTCAGCCCCTCGCGCAAAATTCCAGTTTGCGAGCGCAAATTACTGCACGCAAAATTGGATCTTGATAAATCCGGCCCTAAGATGTTAATTGCCCAACCCGGCAGGAGTGTTAAATACCTTATTTAATCAGAAATTATTGGAGCTGTTATATATATTGTTTATGAACACACACCCTACTAGCTGTGTGTTAGAACAGTAAATGAAAGAGTGATTTGAGCTCAAATAATGGTTAATTCTGAACATACTTTACATATGCACAGAAGATACATTGCAGAAAATAAAAAAAAAATCGACTTGAGGATAAAATGCAACTTGATTGCCTAAGTTTGTATGCAAAAAAAAAGGAATTTCACATTGTTTTATTATTGCTCAAAATCCAAACAATAAGCTACTGTATATTAAAGCTCTATGTAGAGATACAATCAAGACAAGCAGCAGTTCAAGTCAGTACTTGTCTTTTAGCTCCTTTTTTGAAGAGGAGGGAAGTCAGATTGAGAAGGTGCAAAAAGCTTGTTTACTTCAAGCAAATAAGCTAGCCCTGGCTGTCGGGACGCCCTGCCTGATACAGAGCATTAAAACAAAGAAAAAGAAAGGCATTTAATTATTCAATATATCATCAGTGTCAATGACACTATTGCTTAGTTAAATAAAAAAAACACATAACTAAACTATTGAAAAAAATGTTGTTTGTTTTAAATAATTATTATAAAGAGTGCATAGACCTTTAAGACCTTTGCAAACTGAATAATATATGGGTTTATTATGAAGTAACAGTGGCATAGCAGTAGTGAATAAACAGCCATGATAACATTCTTTAAGCATGACTCAGTAAGAGGTCAGTTTGAACTGACAGAAGACACGCTGTGGTGAATGGAAAAATAGTTTATACCTGCTAAACTGGCTCGATTAATAGCCTCAACTGGATTTTGACTGTATTTTAATTCAATGTTAATGGAAGAACAAACTGACATCTCTTTTGAAGTGCTAAATTTTTACAGAGTATAAGGGGAATTTTGAGAACCACTGCACATTGGCAAACTGGAGAGCATACGGGTTTATGGCAGCAGGAACAGAATTTCACCACGTTAATTGAAGTGAATAGTAAGAAGGAAACAAATGTTTATAATCTGCTAGAAATGAATAAATAGGACACTGCGTAACTTTAGTTTATAAGCTAAAAACATAAATATTTTTATTAAATTGGTTGTAGCCCATGAATCACATTTGTGTTATAGTTAAGCCTGAAAAAGATTTCTAAAGAAAAATAACTGTGGGTTCATCCAAAGTATTGGTATAACATCAGGCCATAATTTCTTTCAAATGCTGTCAATCTTTTACATGTTTCTTTATGTGCATTTGGTAACCATGTAGTCTGTATAATTTTCACTTATTCATATGGTCAGTACATTTCTGCTGTGCAAGTGCTGTAACCCAAGTCAGCTACTATGTAGTCTTCCATTAGCTCTCTACAGTGCAGATATTTTTATATCTAAGGGAAACATATTTCAGGACATAAGAAATTTTTTTCTTTTTTTACTAGTCTTTGTACTATTTACTTTTTGTATTCTCTGTCACATATTTACCTTTAATGGCATCTTGCTTTAACTCTTTGTACTCTATATAAGCTACTTGAACAAGAATTTCCCTTAAGAAGTAATCCCATGGGATAAATAAAGGTTAGTCTAACTCAAAAGGTTTAATCTCTATGGTTTTGGAGTCAGTAGTCACCTTTATCTATGTCTCCTTTTACATATTTTACATAATTTCTTGGTGCTATTCTGGTTTGGCCACTGCTAAATGTCATACTTATAGTCAAAGAAAAATTATGTCCTAATCAAAGGATTTTTTTGTCCTAAATCTGCCAGGGGGGGGGGGATTATGTCAGACTTAGTTGTATGTGTTTCAGCAGGGAATTATTTAATGACCTGACTGAACGATTAATCCCAATTTTATAAATATAAATCTATTAAATCCTTGTCACAAGGCTCAGAAATGAAGGACTCAAATGCAAGACCTGACAAAGTTCTTTTAATTCAGTCCAGGGTTGAACACCAAAAATCCAGCAGAAACAGAAGTATCAAAAAACAGAGAGAAAGGCAGGTCCAAATCCAAGCAGGGGTCAAAACACTAGAAAGCTAAATCTAACAGGCAAAGAGGCTGGAACGCTAAGCTCAAAAGACTAACGAACTGGCAAATAGAAGCTGCAAGGGTGGGAACTAAATACTCTAACAAACAAAAGAGGAGCACATTCACCAGGTGAATTGCATTAGGCTGTGGCAGATCCTGATTGCAGGAAGGAACTCAGGAAGTAAAGCTGCCTAAAACGAGAGAGGAAATGAGTACCAAAATAAAACAGGAAGTAAAAAGACAAGGTGATAAAAGTGACATCAATCTAATCAGGACTGCCCCCGACAATCCTAAACCTTTAATAAAACTCCAACAACCTCCTATCCTTTGTAGGTGTTTATGCAGAAGAAAACTAACTTGCAAAACAGAAACCTGCCGCCCTTCAGCGAGTAACATGGAGATGCAGCATTACGTACTGTGCTGCGGTTAAACTTTCCTCCAGTACGGAAAGGGAATCTGGTCAGGGCCTGTGAAGAGACGGGTTAAGTAAATAAAGGTTAATTCCTAAAGAAAACATCTTATAGGATGAAAATGACCTTAGTTTTGGGCAAAGGGGTCACCTTTCATCAAGAAAGCTCTAAACAAGCAAACAGAAGATAAATGCATATTTATTGGTTAAAATGACAGAGTCAATGTCCCAACTGAAGTCTTCAAGAATCTGTGCAAAGAGAAGAAAATAATTTGAAAAATATTCTACATCTAGTTTGACTGTATATGAGCAAAATAAAAGGGGAAAAAAGGTCACTCTGTGATGTATAGGTCAGAGGTGTCAAACTCTATCAAATCTTACCACTTCAGTGATATCAAGTGTTTAATTGGGCCGGGTGAGGCTAAACATAGTTTTTCATTTACAAAGAGCACATTGTTCTGGTATCATAACTTTGCTCTCATGTATTTAGCTGTTTCAGCCACTTTGTACAGGTTATGTGAGCATATACCCTTATAACATATATTGCCCTGAGATTTGACCTGTGGGCAGGGGTGGACTGGGACAAAAACAAATCGGCCCTGGCCTTTTGGACTAGACTGGCCCAACACATTTTTTTTTTTTTTTGGTGTACTAAATGTGTATACCAACTGTGCAATACCTTGAGGCCAGGTTAATGGAAAATAGTGAGAGTGGAAACTTAAAATACTTCCAAAATCTTAATTTATTGACACTGTAAAATGTAAACTCCACCACAGCACAGCAACAGTTCTTAGATCAGAGAGAGAGAGAGAGAGAGAGAAGTCACAGTTAATCACGCATATTATCACGTTATATCATCATAAGAAGTGATTGTATGTTGCTCATCAGATTTATTCAGTCTTCCAGATACTGCAGGGTAACATTGGACTACTGTGCACTCATTGTGTAAAAAAGGATGCCAATGACTAAATTATGAACCATTTGAAACATGTAGAAATAATAATAATAATAAATGAGCTTGTGTCAGTAGTCTTTCCAAATGCAATACAAAAAATACAAAACAAAATAAAGCATGACTTTTCTCACAATATGTGAGCCACCTCCTGTTGGTTGCATTTTTAGTGGTGAATACCTTTTGCACAACTGGATTTTTTTGTGCTTTGTTGTGGGTGGTGATTAAAACAGTTTTTTAAAGACAAGGATCAGGACGGGCAAAGTAATCTATTTCCTCCTGCTTCTCGCCATGTCTCTCCTCAGCCGCACTGACATCATGTTCACTGCTCGGTTTGCCGTCGCCTCCACTACAACCACCACCACCATCATATTTTACATCAGACACTGGGGCAGATGAAAGGCCTGCTGTTGGGAACATGTTAGTCAGTTTGAAACATTTCGCAGCGTCCGTTTGAAGAACTTGTTTCTTTTTTTAGCACAGTTTCTCTGCGCCTCCCTTGCATTTCTTATTCATTACTATTGTGAACACTGCTGCACAAACTTCCAATGGAGAGTGAAGGTGTTTTTCTACTTTCTGATTGGCCTAGCCCTTTAGACTGTCAGGGATGATAACCAATGGGCTGCAGTAGCCTGGGGTAAGAGCCTGATGATCGGAACAGACTCTTGCGCTGCTGATTTCATTTTTCCTCATGCATTATGCAAATATAACGAGGCCGATAATATTAATAGTAATAATAATAATAATAATAATAATAAACATATCGGGTCTGCTGGCCCAAACAGCACGTCGGCCCACCGGGCAAATTCCCGGTACGCCCAATTACCAGTCCATGCCTGCCTATGGGTCTTGAGAGTGCTCCATGTTTTAGGTTTTTTTTTTTAAGAAAAAGAATGAGAAAACAAAGAATATGTGTCCTCTTACTGTATGTCACACAATTTCAACACTTTGTTTTGTTCTTTTACGTAATGTCTATATAAAAAATCTTGAAGTGAATTGTTGATAACAGTCTTGCTGGGTACTGAAATTCAGTTATACCAGGATTAAACTTTGGTGTTCAGACTGAGATTATTCTAAAACATGAAAGAACAGAGATGGATGCTTTGTTGACATGAACAATTGCCTAATTTTTGTGTCTTTTTGTGATTATACAGGTCATGAATCTGAGTGCATGGTGCATAACAGTTTAAGAAAAAATGAAGAGAAAAAATCGCAGGAGCTTTTTTCACCCTGTTCTGATGATGCTTCAGATGATGATGATCCCTCCAACAGATTTGAGCCTATGCAGAGCAGGAAAGGATCAATGTCCCTGACCTTCCCCGAAATTCCTGCTGACCTTGAACAACATCTTCATCGGCATTTGGAAAATGTAGAAGAAATAGTACAAAATAAGCGTAATTCAAGGTCTGGAGACAACAGTGGCTGTCTAGAAGATCACTTCCTGTTACAGACATCTGAGCACCTAAATATCCTGCTCCAGAACATCAGCACCTCAAAAAACTGTTTATTTTTGATAAACTGGGCCTTTGAAAGGTATGTATTAGCTTCTGAACTTTTTCCATGCATTAAACAATCTGTAGCAATGTTAAAAATCTGTTGATACAACACAATTCTGTAACCTGGCATGATGGGATCATGAAAACAGAAAAAGTAGATCATTTAATATGTCACCTGACCAGGCAACAGAGCAATGTGTTCAAAGCAAACAAACGATGCATTAAAGGTTAATGGAAATGAGGAGACAGATATGACTGCTAATGTGAATAAACTTCTAAAGAGCAGAGTTCAGGTTAGAGTTCATAGTAGTTTTTCACAAATAGCAGTTGGATGCCTTACTTCAGTCATTTATGGTAAGTTTAACAGTAGTAGATCATCTTTATGTCTATTTTAAATGGTTAGGATTTAAGTACAGAGACAACAAGACCTTCAAAGATCCATTGTTGTTGTTTAATAGCACAGGTTGGGAAAATTATACTCTGATACTTTCCACCATCAGTGCAAAACCATCCAGGAAAGGAAAAGTGGGCGAAAGGGGTTTTCCAAAATACAAGTTCTAATAAACTAGATTTCCTGCATGCCATTACTTGATTGTTAATCACTGCGTAAAGTTATGTCACAACAAAATGATCCTAGAAGATATGTTTTTTTTCCTCATGCATGTTTGTCCCTTATTTCTCATAGTTTGCTGACTGAGTTTCTCATGTACGCTTTTTTTTAAACTGATATGAATAAAAAAACAGGTGTGCTGGTTGTTAACTCTTGGATATAATCCTATCCTGATATAATAAAGAGAAAACATAACATGCACATATTTTTTATGAAATGCATTTGTGAATAATGTCTTTATTTAAGCAAAGTATTTCAGTATTCCTAAGGCACTTCTTACATAAAGAATTGGAACATGTTTCTGGTGGGTTTTTTTTCCAGGAAGCAACTATTTCCTAACTCGGAATCTGATCTTGTGGAAGAATGGGGACCAGAAGCAGAAACCAAACTTCTAGAGAGAATTAAGGTAAGTGTTTTTAAACAACTAGGAGTCTGAAAACATATACAAATGAAGTGGTTTTGATGATAGTATTGGCTGACATTTAAACTGATTGATTTCCTATCATAGACCCATCTGGTATCATAGACCCATTGATGTTTGTTTGCGATATTTGTTGGGTTGTAACATCCACCTCTACAGAAGATTTAAACATCTGATCTGACCCAAAAATGTAATGATATGTCTGGTCAAATGTATTGCTTATTATTTTTGAAAAACCTTGCAGTCTGCCTGCCCATAATAAAGAGGTAGTACAGTCGATCTTTACATAGTACTGCAATGGGCTGAAGAGATGCCAACAAATAAATTAACCATAACTCATGAATAGAAACATTAAAACTTACCTAAAATATACGATTTATGGAGTAGCCAAATGTTTTCCAGAATTTTTTTTTTATCGCCTGATAAAACAAACATTGAGTTTTTAGCTTTAATTACTGAACCTGTCTTTTAAAAAGTCAAGACGAAGCTTTCAAATCTAAGAAAAGTGTCAACTACTGTATAGGAGCATCATTCTGTGAGGCTTTTATCTTTCACCTATGAGGTTAGATATATCTCCAGCACTGTAAACGCAAGGCCTAAACTTGATCTTTAGAGTCTATTGGAATAAAGAGCTCTGTAAGGATACCAAAATGCATATTTAAACAAGTAGCAGATAACCAAATGTCAAGGTTTTCTGTGAATACACAATATGTTCTCCAGGTCAGTAACAGTCGCTAAAAGTAGCCAGTTAAAAAAATTAACTGAAAGCTATATTTTTAATTATTGTTTTCTAGTGTTGGGTAAGCAAACTAAAATCTGTCACAAGCACATAGAGCTAAACATTTTGCAAACAACATTAACAGCAGACACAATGTAACAAATCATAGCCTGGATTGGAAATGAGAGTTTCTATTTGTCAAATATAGCTTTATGGTTGTGCCTGTCTGTTAGGAGGAGGTTCGTGTTTCCTTGGACAAAATCCTGCAGGAGGACCGAAACCAAACAGAACATAATGAAGAAACCTACATTCAGCTTTACGTGGACATTATTCAGGTAAAAACTTGCATATTTATGGGCATATATTTGTTATTTACTGCTGTTTATGGTATATTATTTCTTTAACCTATATACATGGTCTTACATTATTACAAAGGTTTATATGCATTTGATAAGGATTTAATGTATAAATGTAAATGAGTTTATACCTATTTTCTAAATGCTATACAAACAAAAAATAATATGTATTTTGCAACCTGGGGATGTGGGATGTGATCCGGAAAAGCTTTTCTAAGTAGTGTTTTATGTTTGAGTTTTGTGCTAGATATGGGATCAACATAACAGACAGCAAATTTAGCACAAAGAGGTTCATTATGCTACCTAATTATGAACATATTATTATTATCACACTAGTAGTTAGTTGTATTTTGGCATCCAGGCTTTGGACATTGTAGGGTCAGGGTTGACACTGGTCTACAATGTGCAAAGAGAACCGGAACAACAACCTGTTAGATCTCACTAAAGCCCTGAACACACCGAATCTGATTTTGTGCCGATCTGAGAAAAAAATCATGTCATTTGAGGTTGAGGCATTTAGTGCTCATTTAACGTTTATGGGCATGAACACACCCGATACGAGCCTCATGGAGGCTCATGGAGGCTCGCGTAGCTGCAACTGAGATAGACACCTGGTCTATTTTAGGGTGTATATATACCCATAGGTCAGAAATGTCTGATGAAGGACATACTGACCAAAATGTTACATTATTAAATCTTTGATGGAGGGCAACACAGTGTGCAGGAACTTTTTGGGAACTCTGTAGTTACATTGTGATGAAATGACAAAACTGTTTGGAGGGACTTTTTATCTCATCTGGCCTGAAAGGGCCTTGCAATACCTCAAAAGACCTGCTTTGCAAATGTCCTGCTTGCTCTTCCGGACCTGTTACCTTAACAACCAAATCTCAGATTTGGTTGTTAAGGTAACAGTTAAGAGGAAAATACAGGAAAGATGGAGGAATGGAATATGGTTATACATTGCAAAAGTTTAGATGATGTGATTACTTCTGCAAGGTACTCTGTAAATGTAACATATTTAGTATTCATTTCTCAAATAATTTGACTTTTTTTCTCTCTCTATCTTCCAGTGTATTAATGCCATGCCCAAATTAGTACAAAATGTAAGACCAAGACTGTATCCTCAGGTGCAGGAGGTTTGCTATCAAGAGCTGTGCGATTTTGTGAAAAGGTGAGACGTTTTCAGTTTGATCGGAGATTGTTCTTTGAATCTGATCTAGAAATAAAGACGTTTCTAGAAAATTGCAGAACAATTTACATCAATTTACAGTGAGTTGACAGAATTATCAGTTGAAATAATGCCACATATTTGCTTTGTTGAAGGTACACCTCTGAACAGACCAAGATTCTTCAACAAAAAGCTGAGACTTGGAGGGAACATGTGGAAAATCCAGAGATGATACACTTCCTTAAGACTCTGAAAACATGTAAAGAACTAGGGTGGGTGTTTCATGTCTTCCCTAAGACATGAACATTTTATTCAAAGTTCAAAATCAAACCTTAATTTCTATGTTTTAGTTTGATTAAAATCACTTAAAGAATATCTATTTGCCAAAGGTCTGAAAAAAAGAGGCAAAGGATTTTTTTTAAAGACACCTTTTTTATTCCCAAGCTACTGATGGGTTAATAACACCCGTGAGTTAAATGATGGCTTGTCTGTAGATTTAATTCCCAACATCCCAAACACTTTCATAGCTACATCTAAGTGTAAACAGCATGTAAATGCTATGTCATTTTATGGTTCTAAGGGGGCCTCTGGGAGGCACAAGAAATGTGTCTGCCTTTGTTTCTACTGCCCTAAAAGGCTGAAATGCATTTATATGAATTAGTACAAGGATTAATGGTGAAGCTTAGAAGATAACTGCACTTTACTTCTAGTGGACTGGAGGCGTTTGGTGAGAAAATATAATGCTTTATATAAAAAGTGACTGAATGAGAACCTTGAATTTTAAAGATAGAGTTTTTTTTTAACAAAAGTTAAAAGAGAGCAAAAACATAAATGAGAATTGAGTCAATATCTATGTTACCAAACAAGACATTCTTTCAGCAGAAAAATTTAATTTGAATTAATATAAAGTTTCTCAGCTTTGCAAATAACTAATACCAAATCAATTCATGTTTTTACATTGAGCATTCAAGTGTTTACAACACTGTTTATATATATATTTTTTTCCATTATTCCAGAAGCAATTTATAGGGGTAGATAAATGCAGTAAGAAAATGAGAAAGCTTGGCTTTCAGTCTCTCCTCCAAATCAAATGTCCTTTATTTGGTTGAGATCAAGACTGGAGATCAGTAAAGGTCATTAGCTCCAAGCTCTCTAATTCATGTCTTTATACACCTTGCTTTTTCTGGTGGTGCAAAGTCCTGTTGAAAATGCAAGGAACAATTTCATTGGAGCTACTGGCCCAAGCCCAGCTCCCAACACCCCCACAACGTAATACCACATCCACTAAATGTGACACTTAATACAATACAGCCAGACAAGTACTATTCTCCTGGCAACGTAGACTGGACCATAGGCTGGACTGGACCATCAGATTAACAAATGGAAAAGCCTGATTTGTTACTCCTAAAATTACTCTTTCACTGCTCAAGTCAAGATGCAGTAGGCTTTATATAAATGCATATAACGCTTTGCATTGCACTCGATGTCTCACTTGGAGGCGGTTACTCAGCAAAGATGCATTGTTTTTGAGCCAATAATTGTATACTAACATCTGCATTCTACTGCACTACTTGCACCGTTCACTACTTCATGAGTGAATTTGTGTTAATTCGGTTCAGTTTTTTTATATGGCATCAATTCACAACACAATGTATCTCAAGGCTCTTTATAGAGAAAATTCAAACAAGGGATGCAGACCGATTGGTTAAAAATCAGAATATTGCATTGAGTCAGTGACTTTGCAGAATTCAGTCTTCTAGAAGACAAAGCAGACACAAAATAAACACATTAGCACAAATGCAAGAATAATTTTATACTAGAGATGTGGACAGCAGCCCATTTAAAGCCTTCCTCCAGGACAGTGTGGCAGCTAAAAAGAGTGCCAGCCATATGTAGCTGCTATGACAAGAAAAAGCAGAAAGAACATTCAATTAAAAGTTGATTTAAAGCTCCAAGCGGCGTTGGGCGACTCTCGAGGCTCAGTGCAGCTCAGCTTATTGTACAGCAGATGCTGCGCAAAAACTTCAACCACGCCTTCAGCAATTTGGCTCAAATCCAGCCTTCCCAACACAAGCTGTGGAAAATTCCTGTTCTCAGTGGGCATAGTTTAAAGGGGTTCCAGTTGACTCAAAGCAAAATGTTATTTAAAAGAGCATTTTAAAAGGCTTCAAAGATCACTCATATCCAGCTGGAAGCAAATCCAATTGTGCAACTGATTTAGAGCAAAACACATCTAGACAGCGACATATTGGAATTTGCCACCCTGTCATGTCCACATTCTCAAGCCATAATTCATTTTAAACTACGGGATTTGCCTTTTTTGTACAACAAGCTTTAATTTGCATGGGCAAGTGTCAAAAGGAGGAACTGCCAGCAGTTAAAAATGTGGCTTCCTGTTCCCTAGGGTGATGCTAAATAAGGTCAGGACTATGGAAACCAGTATAACCTCAGCCGCTTTGACTATAAGTTTTATCAAAATATACAGTTTTAAACCCCTTAAAAGTAGACACGGTTTCTGCCTTAAGGACTAAAACTAGTAGTGGGTTCTACAGGAGAGAAGCTAAAAGATAACTAAAAGATCTTCCTCCCATTCTACTTTTAGAAATTTTCGGAGCCACTTGTAAGCCTGCAGATTGAGAGTGAAGTGCCCTGTTAGATGGGATAATCAGGTATCTCATACAAGATGGAGTCTGATTATATAGGGTTTTATACCTGAGAATATTTTTATTTTTACTTAATTGTAATCTGCTAATGAAAGACACCTTAAACAGGAGAAATCTAATTCCTGTTTGTAATTTTCATTAGAACTCTAGCTGCATTTTGAATTAGCAGGGTTTTTTACTGCATTTTGGGGACGTCCTGAAAGTGAAGACTAACAATAGTTCAGCAAAGAATGCATAGACCTAATAGTGGAATATTTAGAAGCAAGGAGATTAACTTTTATACAGGAGACACTCTACCATCCATTGCCAAAGAAATTACCCAACATCTAGTAATATGCCCCTGACTGCAACAAGTGTGCTGCCTTGGGGATTGAGAGGAGAGGAGCTAACATGTACTAAAGTTTCCCTCAAATTCCAAAGTTCTGAATAAACTCAGTCTCCCTAAATTTGTGAAGATCACTGTCCCACCTTTCCTGAATGGATTATCGTATGCAAACAGACTTATCCACGGAATTGGTGGCCAAAAATCAGTGAAATTCCAAAGTGCGCTTTCACTGTGTAAATATTTTTGTGCGTTTTCCCACCAGCCCCTGCTGACTCCTTTTATGGCTTCTGTTGAACACTTGACAAGAAACATAACTATTCCTTAAATTTTCTTCTCATCATCTGTCTGATAAGATCCATAATAATCTAGCCCATGAACTTGAACAGTCGTGAAGAAGAGTGGACCAAACACACACATATTTGGGGTGTCTACAGGCTCAGCACCAGAGAGGGTGTGAAGCTCACTATCCTCACTTTGGGCTTGGTGGTGAGAAAGTCTCTGAGGATCAGCACCCTTAAACCTGTTGCAGGATTGAGGATTTTGCAGCTGGAATAAATCTGTCAGAAGAATTTGTAATATTGCATTTGTCAGTTTATCAGTTGAGCATCTGGATGTGCAGAGATGGTTCCCTCAGTCATTAAATGTATGAGGAGTAAAAAACACTATCAGTGTCTGGGCAGCAGGAACAACAGAGAATGACCTGAGGTCAGCTTAAACTTGGGGCAGCTGCAAAGAATGATTGAATGGTTTCAAAGTGCTGTCAGTTAATCCACTGATTCCCAACTGGGGGTACCCGTACCCCTAGTGGTCCATGGGTGCATTGCAAGCGGCAAATAAAAATTCTCAGGTAATAAAATAAAATAGGTCTGGGATCTGTTCTGTTTTGCGGGGGACCGACCTGAAAAATAAAGCAAGATTTTTTTACCAAAAAGTAAGTTACTCTTATATGTTTCAGTTCACCTTCAGCTTTGCCAAACACCAATACAAAACAAAGCAAAAGAACTGACTAGATGTACAGAATAACCTGATAACAGCTGTCAAGAATGAGGAAAACAAATGAAGTCAGTCTGACCATATTTTCTGTATAGTATTTTGTTCCCAGTTCCTCAAGTTTAAATAGGGGAGTTACTCAGAGGAGATCCAGCTTTATAAAGGCAGAATGATTCTATTTTATTTTATTTTGTATTTATTTTGATTCCTTACTAGCTTCCAGGCAGTTGGAAAGAACAACATGCCAAAAAATAAAATGCTCAAGATAAAAAAAAAATGAATTAAATACCCTGTATTGTATATTCAGTTTTTGTATGTTCCACATGGACAATCATCATGTGGGGGTGGGGTACTCATGATACAACAAAATGTCTGGTGTTACTAACCTAACTTGGGAAGGATAGATGTGTCTGCTAGTGAATATGTCAAAGTTCCACAGTTCAAAAGTAATTTTTAGACAATAAAAAAAAAAGTTTTTTTTTCCCCCTATTTTTCCTAACTGATCTTTTAATAAGCAAATATAAATTATTTTGGTTATTTTAACTGAGCTGAACAGTTACAAGTATATTATGTATGTAAATATATCGATTAAATTGCTTTTCCTCCAGGTTGCCTAACGATGAGGATGACATGTTATTAACATGATTTACTGTGCTTGGTTTCAGGAATCACGTTTCGACGAATGCAACTTTTGTCAGAGTTCCTCTTGTCCAGGAAATCAATAAAATACTTAAAGAAATGGAGGAATCAACTATGCAACTTCTAAATAAAATTGTAACTGAACTTGCTGAGGTATCCCTTTTGAGAGAATGGGTTTGTTTGACCAAAACAAAAAAATCCTTTTGTCTAAAAACCCCTTTTGCTATCTTGCAGACGTCCCTTGAGGATTATTTCAAATCAAGAAACACATCTTGTAATTGCTTGTTACACAGTATATCTGGTCAAAGGCACTGTGGTTTGTTTGATGAGTTGAGGAACCATTTTCCCAGACTGTCTAATGCATCGGATGAACAAAAGGTGAGCCATCTCTTTTTGACAGGTTCCACCTATAGCAACAAAATGAAACACACCTACATGGTAATAAGTTGATCCAAATTCACAATGTGTTTTAAATGTGATTTTAAAAGGGTAAAATTTGTACAAAAAAAAAATAATAATCTGACTGATTCTCTCTTTCTAATCTCCAGATTGTTATGGATGAAGCTTATAAAATCGTGGTTCACTCTTATCTCAAGCATCTTATCCAGAAAAGTCAGTGGAAACTGAAAAGATACTGGAGTACTGATGTGGGCCAAGCAGTCGATGACTTTGCCAAGGAACTTCACACCACCATCTCAGATCTGGTGGGATCATCATCCAAGGATCAATCATCGCAGGCAGCTTGTTTTCAGTATTAGAAATTCCTAACATGTACAGTTTGTACCAGGCTCCCGGTGTACAGCAGTGGAACTGCATACTACTGAAGATCAACGACATTTTAAAGAGCAATATCGACGGCCTGAGACTTGACATTTTAGGCATATGTGGAGACTTTAAGGAAAAGAGGTAAGCCAGTTTCTTATTATCATGGTTAAGGGCGTATCATTTATTATATTTAAAGGTGTTTTGAATGTATTTTCTAAATAATCACTAAGTAACTTTTAAACCTTCATGAAATGTTTTCATAACTTTTGTGAATATACGTTGACTTACAACCAGTTGAATGACATCTCGCTGATCACCAGGGGGCTCTCTTTCACTTTCACTGTCAATAGGCAACTTTTAGGAGGGTTGCAGTATCTGTGTGTGAAGTAGTTTGGTCGAGGGTCAATAAGGTGAACCAAAAAAAAAACAGCTTCAGCCACCGGTTCCAGTTTCTCTGTTGTCTTTTATTCCTTTTCTCTCAGACAAAACATTTCTCCTCGAGCTTGTTGTTGTCGTTGTTGTTTCTTGTTTTAATGGCGGTTGACAAGCAACTTATTGGTGTGCATTACCGCCACCTACTGGTAAGGAGTGTGGATCAGGACGCAACTTAAAAAAAAAAAAAAAACTAAATCCTTTCTATCAGTTTAGTTTTCTTAAGAAAGCCTATTAAATGACGTAAATATTCAGAAGAGGAGCAATATCCCAACTTATCTGATATTTTGAACTGTAACTTATTCTTTAGAAGTCGTAATTTCCTTCTCTCCTCAGAGTACTTTGGACATAACAACAAAACATGTTCTACTGTCTCTTCTTGAAAACAAAATTCACAATTTCCTGATGGATGTCTTCCCATTATAAATAATGTACTGTTTAAGCCTGTATGACCAAAACGTAACCTGGATATGATATTTTCTTCTTTTCTACTTCTTCCTGTTCCCCTCATTACCCCAACTTTCATTTGAATGCCATAAAGCCCTCTACTAGTTCTTTCCTCCTCCCACTGCTTCTGCCATCTTTCCTTAACCTTTTGTTTTATAATAGATTTTATCTCCTCTTGACTAAATGGAATCAGTATCTCAATGCAACTGTTTTTTGAAGCTTGTTTTGCATATCTGTCTGCCAATTCATTTCCTATTACTCCTATATGAGATGGAACCCATGTAAAAATGACAATTAATCCCATGACCTGAATTCTATAAAGTATTAACTGAATCTCCAATAGAAGGTCTGGTCTACTCCTCGAGCTTCAAAGAGCTTAGGGCTTATATAATCAAGTGGCAACACACCTGCACTTGAGTGGACCAAGCATCAATTAAACAGGTAAAAAAAAGAACAAACAGTCTAAACAGAGAAACAAGAATAAACTTAATCTAATTTACAAACTCATCTACATAAAGAAAGAGTCTGCAAAATAAACAGTGTGAAACAAGATAACTCAAAAAGTTACTTTAAAGAAAAACAAACAAAGCATAACTCTAAAGGAAACACTCTAAATGGTAGAATCCAGCAAATTAATGGATGACATCATTTAGTCAATTTAGCAGGAAATACTTAAATAATGGTAAGTAAAAGGGAAAACAAAAATCATGAATATACTTTGAAACATAATAAACAATTTAAACCAATAATCCCGAAGTACTAGCTTTAAGCTAAACATAAGTAGATGGAAACTGCAACATAATGCTAACACAAACAAACCCGGATAGTAAGTGAAAGTCAAAGTTGCAAACTAATGTTTAAAGTTAAGCATTACAAATCAGAAGAAGGAATCAGGGACAAGTGGTAAACACAAACTAAACCACTTTGTCACACTGTGCCAAACAAACTACAAATGTGCAAACTGCTTTACGGTAACATCACTTCCCCCTTTCCCCATTTGTTATAAAGATGTAAGTCAATGCAACTAAGTTTCCCTGAGAGACTGTATATTTGTGCAAACTGTTCAGGGTTGAGTGTCCTGTGGAGGCACAGGAATACGGGAAAAAAACCCAAAGTTAATAGTTTCTTATTTTCAACCAGGAGAGTCCAATCATCACAATTTAACTCATTGTGCATGTTGGACTTACCTGATTCAGTGGCTGGGCAGAACAAATTCGTGACGACTTGGTGACTCCACAATGACAATCTCTGGCACTAATTTACAAAAGTTTAATACATTTTGACCCTGATTTTGCTTCTTTTATGTTTTTGTGTCTTTCATTTTTTATTTTAACCTGAGAAATCGAAGCCATGGAGCTACCAGGATATAGCAATTCCCAAGTTTTGTGCTAGGACAGTGCTAGGACCTATATATATATATATATATATATATATATATATATATATATATATATATATGTATATATATATATATATATATATATATATATATATATATATATATATATATATATATATGTATATATATATATATATATATATATATATATACATGTATGTATGTATGTATGTATGTATGTATGTATGTATGTATATGTGTATACATATATGTATATATATATGTATATATGTATATGTATGTGTATATATATGTATATATATATGTATATATATATATATATATATGTATATGTATATATATATATATATATATATATATATATATATATATATATATATACATATACACTATATTGCCAAAAGTATTTGCTCACCTGCCTTGACTCACATATGAGCTTAAGTGACATCCCGTTCCTAATCCATAGGGTTCAATATGACGTCGGTCCACCCTTTGCAGCTAGAACAGCTTCAACTCTTCTGGGAAGGCTGTCCACAAGGTTTAGGAGTGTGTTTATGGGAATTTTTGACCATTCTTCCAGAAGCGCATTTGTGAGGTCGCACACTGATGTTGGACGAGAAGGCCTGGCTCTCAGTCTCCGCTCTAATTCATCCCAAAGGTGTTCTATCGGGTTGAGGTCAGGACTCTGTGCAGGCCAGTCAAGTTCATCCACACCAGACTCTGTCATCCATGTCTTTATGGACCTTGCTTTGTGCACTGGTGCACAGTCATGTTGGAAGAGGAAGGGGCCAGCTCCAAACTGTTCCCACAAAGTTGGGAGCATGGAATTGTCCAAAATGTCTTGGTATGCTGAAGCATTCAGAGTTCCTTTCACTGGAACTAAGGGGCCAAGCCCAGCTCCTGAAAAACAACCCCACACCATAATCCCCCCTCCACCAAACTTTACACTTGGCACAATGCAGTCAGACAAGTACCGTTCTCCTGGCAACCGCCAAACCCAGACCCGTCCATCAGATTGCCAGATGGAGAAGCGCGATTCGTCACTCCAGAGAACGCGTCTCCACTGCTCTAGAGTCCAGTGGCGGCGTGCTTTACACCACCGCATCCGACGCTTTGCATTGCACTTGGTGATGTATGGCTTGGATGCAGCTGCTCGCCCATGGAAACCCATTCCATGAAGCTCTCTGCGCACTGTTCTTGAGCTACATGAAGTTTGGAGGTCTGTAGTGATTGACTCTGCAGAAAGTTGGCGACCTCTTCGCACTATGCGCGTCAGCATCCGCTGACCCCGCTCCGTCAGTTTACGTGGCCTACCACTTCGTGGCTGAGTTGCTGTCGTTCCCAAACACTTCCATTTTCTTATAATACAGCTGACAGTTGACTGTGGAATATTTAGGAGCGAGGAAATTTCACGACTGGATTTGTTGCACAGGTGGCATCCTATCACAGTTCCACGCTGGAATTCACTGAGCTCCTGAGAGCGACCCATTCTTTCACAAATGTTTGTAAAAACAGTCTGCATGCCTAGGTGCTTGAATTTATACACCTGTGGCCATGGAAGTGATTGGAACACCTGATTCCAATAATTTGGATGGGTGAGCAAATACTTTTGGCAATATAGTGTATATATATATACAGAGAGTCCAAGAAGTATTTGATCCCTTGCTGATTTTCTTCGTTTGCCCACTAATAAAGATGTGATCATTCTGCACGTTTAATGGTAGATGTATTCTAACATGGAGAGACAGAATATCAAAAAGAAAATCCTGAAAAAAAATCTAAGGTAAATATATTAATTAATTTGTATTTCATTGAGGGAAATAAGTATTTGATCCCTCTAGTCAAACACAGTCAATACTTAGTGGCAAAGCCTTTGTTAGCAAGTACAGCAGTGAGACGTTTGTTGTAGTTAACCACAAGTTTAGCACACACACCAGGGGGAATTTTGGCCCACTCTTCTTTGCAGACCCTCTCTAAATCACGAAGGTTGGTGGGTTGTCGCTTGGCAACTCTGACCTTCAGCTCCCTCCATAGATTCTCAATCGGATTGAGGTCCGGAGACTGGCAGGGCCACTCCATGACCTTCACCTTTCAAATTCCACCTGATATTTCTGACTCTGTGGTAGTAATGCAACAGCAGGTATTCTGTGTGCTCCTTTTTATGCACCTCTGGAAGGCTTTTAATGTCCTGCAGCACTGCACCACTACAGCACTTTTAATTGTATCTCGTATGTTTTTATATGTGTTATGTATTGTTTTTATGGCTTTGTTGTAAAGCACTTTGGGTACCATTTGGCTATTGTAAAGGGCTATACAAATAAATTTGATTTGCTTTTGATTAGATTTAGACACTCCCCCTTATGGCCAGCATCATCATGGCTCAGAACTTTCCAAGGAGGGAGGTAATTGTGCGACCATCTCAGGTGATGTAACAGGCATGCGTTACATCAGATTGCGGCCAGATTCCCTTTTATAAGTGGAAAAATGCATTTGGAACAATTTGGCACATTTCTGGCTAGGACACTGCTCCCTAAAACCTTTGTGGAACAATCATGCTTCAACTTATTCAGTTCAAATCTGCTTGAGTTATAGTCAAGATGTAAATCTATACAGTCTGAGGGTTCATCCAGAGTCTGAAATGGGGTTTCATGGTGTTTTGCAGAGTCTTTTTGGAAAAAATCTTGGCGAGGCTGAATATTTTTCATTTATGCTTCGTTTAATCACCTATAAATCAGACATGGTGACATTAAAAATAGTGATTCCACCTGAAAAACATGCCTCAATGCATTTCTGTTATATAAATACAAACAATTGCGTCTCCAATTTATAGTTTGGGAACTGTACTTGGTTTAATTCACATATGTAATTTATGGGCTTAAGGTTCTTTTTTTATTATCTTTTTAAGC